TTCCTTGGAGCTGTGTGCATACTCTGATGCTGATCATGACAGTGATCCCACAGATCACAAATCTATTACTGATTTCTGTATCTTTTTGGGTGATTCTCTTATTTATTGGAAGAGCAAGAAACAATTTATTGTTTCTCAATCTTCAACCGAAACAGAATATCGTACTATGGCATCTACTACCAAAGAGATTGTTTGGTTACGTTGGTTACTTGCAAATATGGGAGCTTCTCTTTCTCATCCCACTCATATGTATTGTGACAACCGGAGTTCTATTCAGATTGCTCACAACTCGATTTTTCATGAACGAACTAAGCACATTGAGATTGATTGTCACCTTACTCGTCATCATCTCAAGCATGGCACCATTACTTTGCTCTTTGTTTCTTCTTCTTTGCAGATTGCAGATTTCTTTACCAAGTCCCATTCTATTTCCCGTTTTCGTTTTCTAGTTGGCAAACCCTCGATGCTTGTCGCTGCTGCATCGTGAGTTTGAAGGGAGATGTTAAGAAATATAAGGTTATTTTGTTTATTAATGGTAGAATAGTCCTTTACTTTCTCTGTCTTGTTTAGCTTATATATAGTCTCTTTGTATTTAGGTTAAATTACTTCCTTGTATTCAATTCAATTATGGAGTATCAATAAAGCTCTAACCTCTTCTTTTCTTATCTCTTGTATTTCTTTAGATTGTTCAACAATATGAATGTGAGGTTGCCTTTTAAATCTCCGAATTTTTCGATTTAGATGCTCTTTAATGATCCTAATATTTTCTCTAATAAATTCTCAATGATGTTTTNAACTCTAATCTCCTCTTTTCTTATCTCTTGTATTTCTTTAGATTGTTCAACAATATGAATGTGAGGTTGNAGCTCTAACCTCTTCTTTTCTTATCTCTTGTATTTCTTTAGATTGTTCAACAATATGAATGTGAGGTTGCCTTTTAAATCTCCGAATTTTTCGATTTAGATGCTCTTTAATGATCCTAATATTTTCTCTAATAAATTCTCAATGATGTNTGCCTTTTAAATCTCCGAATTTTTCGATTTAGATGCTCTTTAATGATCCTAATATTTTCTCTAATAAATTCTCAATGATGTTTTAACCACAGATTCGGTTGAGCCAATCTGTTTCGTTCAACACCGGTGGTTCAAATGCCTTTGACACAGCCACAAATAAATGCTATTATCACACCAACTTCCTTGATGAGGAAGAAGACCCAGAAGTAGAGACTTCCACAGAGATGGGTACTGCTGAAAATTGTGCCCAAAGTAAAGGTCCAAAATGGTGGTTTAATCTCCAAGGTGGAGGTTTATTCTGCTCTGCCTTGCTTTCTCAACTGTCCAGTTCATGATACTTCTCCAAATCAACTCATATTCATTGTTGCTTCTACAATGCCACATTACGAGCTNCAAAGCGGCCTAATATGATTTTGTAAGCACATCAGCGTCATGAGAAGAGCTTTCCCTGAAGAGTAGTCGTAGTAGTAGTTCTTTAATTTTTCTTTCAAATCAATGATGCTTTTCAAGTCAAATCGTCCACGACTGAAAAGAGAGGCATTGTGATTCCACTGACTGGATTAAGTGGCGCGCAAATTCCATAGTTGGATGAGGCAGACATGACAATACCGTAAATTACTAAAAAAGTGAGTAATATTATTTAATTTAATCTTCTTTGTTGATTTTGTAATGTGATAATGATATGTTTTGATTATATTATTATAATCACTAGACACATTTTTATATTAGTAAATAATGCCAAAATTTTAGGTTCAAAAAATATTACAATTAAATATTGTTTAAGTATATATGATACACCGATAAATAAAAATGTATTTATTCCATCCAATTGACAAAAATGATATAAACTTCATTAGTCAGGTACTTTAATACAAAACTCATCTAACAAGTCAAATATATGCAAATTGTTATAATATATTTAAAGGTAAATTACAGTGACACCCCTGTAGATTGGTCTAATTACAGAGACACCCCATTCGATTTTATGAAGTTACACTGGCACCCTTTACTATTTACCTTCCCATTTTACAAAGTACCTCTATGGTTAGCATTTTTATTGGCAATGTCAAAAAAATGATTATATCATTAACTTTTACACTTTAATATCCATATTACCTCTGAATAAAATTAGGCTAACCTATTTATTTTTGTATCGTGTTCATATTTTCTTTTGATAAAAGAGAACCTTTCAAAGGCAGGATTACTTTGGACTCATCCTTGCGAGAGTAGATCCCGGATACTTGGAATCACCCGCAAATCACATGTATCGATTAAGCATGAGAGATACCAACAAGAGTCAAATCCCTGACATTCGGATCTACGATTCATCTGGATTCAACTCCACACCATTGGGCTATCCCGTGCTAGTGTGTTCGTATCATGTTGACCCATATAAATTTTGAATAAAAAAATTTAATGCTAAGATTTAATTTTAAGATTTTATTATCACTTATTTGAATCCACATTCATACTTTATCTATAAACTAAAAATTAACTTAATAAACATAGCAAAAATAATGAGTAAAAATATCTTTTTTATACAATAATTATATTAGCACTTACTAAACAGTAACAAATAATTAATATTTTATTTATATAATACAAGTTACACATGNCACTTACTAAACAGTAACAAATAATTAATATTTTATTTATATAATACAAGTTACACATGTTGATCGTGTCAATTTTGTATTGTTCATATTAATATACAAATGAGAAGATAGAGGAAGCTCGGCACGATTAAATAAACGGGTTGATTGTTTTAATTTCGAATTTGACAGATTGAACCCAAAATTGACCCATTATTAGTATTTAAATATATGAGAGGATAATAAGTTAAAGATGATGTATGGTAAGGGTACTTATGAAAAATAATTTTTTTTGTTATATTTGTTAAGGGACAAGATCTGGCTAAGAATTAGAAAATAGAAAACCTATTTTGCAAATTAAGATAAATTATTCATGATAAAGTGAAGTATTCTCTTTTCTTTAATCTGAGGTCTGCGAACTCTAATTTTGGTTGGGAAAATAAAGTGGGGGAGCCTTGTTTCGCTTGTGATGAACTCTCTATCCAACCTTAGCTTTCGTTTGATAATATTTTTTTTAAAAGCAACTTTTTTGAAGTAAGAAAAAAATTAATTTTGTCAAAAAAAATAAAAACATATCCAATAATTATTTTTGCAAAAATAATCTAAATGCATTTCAGTACATATTTGTTGCAGCTGTGAAACTAAATGGTACTTAAAAAGTGTCCTTAAAAAAACAAAATTACTTTAAAAATTCGTTATCAAATTGAATGCTTGTATATAGAGAGGTATGCAAGAACTTGCTTTAGTTCTAATTATAAAAACGTTTCTACTATGAACAAACCAGATTAATGTTGGAGCAATTGGCCTGAATTCGATGTACAAGTTTTGTTTAAAGAAGTGAGCAAAACACAAAAACATGAACACTGTCACGTTCATGTAGGTATTGATTGACTTCTAGAAAAAAACTGCCGCCCCAATTTTGAGAATATATACCTTCTCTGAACTCCACCAGAAAATCCTACGTAGGCATCCATGCTTATTCTTAAGAAATTTCAGCTACTAAAATTCAGGCTATTTGACCATTTTTCTTCTTCCTTCTCTTTTGTTGCCTCCGTGCAAAAATTTCTACAAACCATTCATGTTTACTAGTAGTCAGAATATGTCCAATCACCAAACCAACTACTAGTCCACTGGCGTATCCCATGTATATGAAAATCCAATTAAATTTACTTGGAAAGTCCGAATTGCCTTTTTCAAAGTTCAAAGAGGGCGATGGCGGTGGTGATGCCTCAAAACTTTCACATTTCTTGGATAAAGGACGACCACACAACTCTAGATTCCCATAAAATGAATTGTTCTCAAACTTAGCAAATTGATTTGCTTGTGGTATAGTAGGCCATGTGAGATGGTTATGAGAGACATTCAAGAATGTAAGGAACGTCAGTTGCGTCAGTTGTTGAGGGATCTCTTCTGAGAGCTTGTTTTGTGAAAGGTCCAGAGCTTCAAGATCTGTTAGGTTCCCTAAGGATGATGGGATTTTGCCTACAAGACCATTGTTGGAAAGGTTAAGCAACTGAAGCCCCTTGAGATTTCCAGTGGATTTTGGTATCTCTCTAGTGAATTTGTTGCTTGAGAGATCAATGGCTGCAAAAACCGTCGGGATCTTGTAATAAAAAGTTTCAAGGCCTTTGTTTCTCAATACCATCGAGAAATCGAAACTCTCGAAAAAGTTAATTTCCAACACTTGGTAATCGTACTCTGCTTGAAGATATATGGATTGNCTGTCGGGATCTTGTAATAAAAATTTTCAAGGCCTTTGTTTCTCAATACCATCGAGAAATCGAAACTCTCAAAAAAGTTAATTTCCAACACTTGGTAATCGTACTCTGCTTGAAGATATATGGATTGACTAAAATCAGGAACTTTTGTGGCATTCCAATTTTGGAAGTATTTCAATGGAAGCTTGCCCGTAAAACCATTGCATGAGAGGTCAATGATGCACGGTTTGGGGAAACTAGAATTTGACAGGTCCCCTACTAGGTTGCTGTGAAATTCGTTGGATCCCAAAATGAGAATTTTCAACTCTTGAAGAGTCCCCAACCAAAAGGGAAAAACATCCCTGATTTTGTTGTTTCCAATGTTGAGGAGCTCTAACATTGTGCATTTGGCCAAAGACCTTGGTATTGGTCCATCCAATTTATTTTGACTTGAATCAAGGACTCTCAAATTGTTTTGTTTCTTGTATGATTGAGGAATAGTTCCATGGAAATTGTTGCTTCGTAAGCACTATCAAGAAATCACTGAAGCTGCTTAAACATTGTGGAATTTTTCCACTCAACCTATTATTTGACAAGTCAAGGCATTGAAGAAAGCTCGCATTGCAGATTATCTGTGGAATTTCANACCCAATTTATTTTGACTTAAATCAAGGACTCTCAAATTGTTTTGTTTCTTGTATGATTGAGGAATAGTTCCATGGAAATTGTTGCTTCGTAAGCGCTGTCAAGAAATCACTGAAGCTGCTTAAACATTGTGGAATTTTTCCACTCAACCTATTATTTGACAAGTCAAGGCATTGAAGAAAGCTCGCATTGCAGATTATCTGTGGAATTTCACCCATCAATGAATTATTTGAAATTCTATAATCAACAATAGAGAGTGGTGGAATGGGGACTGATCCTTGTATGCGGTTAGAACTAAGGTCTAAAATCTATAGTCCCTCCCATGGAAGGATTGTTGGAAGTTGCTCAAACCCTGTTAAAAAGTTGAAATCCAAGAATACCGTCACCAGAGTTTTTTGGCCTACATTCCACATCCATTTGGGGACATGACCATGAATTTTGATGTCAAAAAGAAATAGTACCACCAATTCATCTTGATGTTTTAGGAACTCTGGGAATTCACTTAAATTGCAAGCTATTAATCCTAAAATTTTGAAGTTTGGAAGAGTAACATTTACACTACTTCCAATGAGCATTGACAATTTGTTGTTTGATAGTTGGAAGATGCTAAGATCTTTGAGCTTCAGAAATGTGTCTATTTCAACTTTCCCACTCAAGTTATTAAGATGCAAATTAAGAGTTTGGAGATTGTTGAGTGTGAAAATTGATTGTGGAATCAAACCATGGAAGTTATTCTCATTTAATCCTAACTCAGTTAGATGGGTGAGGTTCCCCAGACACGATGAAATCTTACCATTCAATTGATTTTTTGAAAGTTGTAAGTAAGTTAGTCGAGTCAGGTTCTGAAGACAAGAAGGGATGTCACCATACAAGTTGTTAGCTCGAAGGAACAATTGGGTGAGTGAGGTTTGCTTACAAACCCAAGATAAGGTTCCATGAGTGAAGTTATTGCGTGAAAGTGAAAGAGTAGCAAGTTGGGTGAGATTGGAAAATGAAAGAGGGATTTGCCCTGTAAATTGGTTCTTTGAAAAGTTCAACATGACAAGTTTGTTGAGATTACCAAGGGAAGAAGGAATCGGGCCAATGAAATCACAATCACAGAGATCCAACCAAAAAAAAGACTTAAGATTTCCAATAGAATTTGGCAGTTTACTAGAGAAACTAGTGCCAACAAGTCTCAAATCTTCAAGGGGACTACTTTGGTTAAATTCAGGCAAAGAACCTTTGAGATCTTGATTATAACGCACACCTAGAGCTTGTAGCCTCGACATGTGGAATATACCTACTGTAAATTCACCATAAAGACTACAATCTCTAAGAAATAGTGATTTGAGAGATGATAAATTGGCCAAGCTACTCGGTACTTGAGAAGATACATTTACTTGAGATAGAGAAAGCTCT